CAGGCTCGTCCAGGCGCTGGTGGCGTGCGCCGAGGCGGTCCATCAGGAGAATCTGATCCTCGCCGATGCTCTCGTCAAACGCGTGGGATCGCTCGCCGCTTCTCAGGCGGGAGCAATGGGGAAAGTCGCCACCTACTTCGCCGAAGCTCTGGCATGTAGGATCTATAGGATTCACCCTTCCTCCGCCGCCATTGATCCCTCCTTCGAAGGGATCCTGCAGATGCACTTCTACGAGTCTTGCCCTTACCTGAAATTCGCACATTTCACTGCGAATCAGGCCATTCTAGAAGCCGTCGCGACGGCGCGTGTCGTTCACGTCATCGATCTAGGGCTCAATCAAGGTATGCAGTGGCCGGCGTTGATTCAAGCCCTAGCTCTCCGAACCGGCGGACCTCCGTCGTTCCGTCTCACCGGCGTTGGAAGCCCGTCGAATCGAGACGGGATTCAACAGTTAGGATGGAAGCTAGCTCAGCTTGCTCAAGCCATCGGCGTCGAATTCGAATTCCACGGTCTAACCGCCGAGAGATTATCCGATCTCGAACCGGAAATGTTCGAGACCCGACCCGAATCGGAGACTCTAGTGGTTAATTCGGTTTTCGAGCTCCACCCGCTTTTGGCCCGACCCGGTTCTATCGAAAAGCTGTTAGCTACGGTTAAGGCGGTTAAACCGAGCATCGTAACGGTGGTGGAACAAGAAGCGAACCACAACGGCGTCGTTTTCTTAGAACGGTTTAACGAGGCGCTTCACTACTATTCGAGTCTGTTCGACTCGCTCGAGGACGGGCTTATACTACCGAGTCAAGACCGAGTCATGTCGGAGGTTTACTTAGGGAGGCAGATCGTCAACGTGGTGGCTGCGGAAGGAATCGATCGGGTCGAGCGGCACGAGACGCTAGCTCAGTGGCAAAAACGGATGGGATCCGCCGGGTTTGACCCGGTTAATCTCGGATCAGACGCGTTTAAGCAAGCGAGTTTGCTCTTGGCGCTATCCAGCGGCGGAGATGGATACAGAGTGGAGGAGAACGATGGAAGCCTTATGCTTGCGTGGCAGACGAAACCGCTCATCGCTGCATCGGCGTGGAAACTCAGCGCCGTCGCGGATGAGTGGCGGCGGTAGGGAACTTTTTTTCTTAATATAATAATAAAAAATAAAATTACAAAACCGTAACCTTTATGTTTTTGTTTTACTGTAACTTACCCCCACTAGTTTGTTTTATGACTATTTCGCCCTAAATATCCGAACTTTTTATCTTTGGGACCCAATTGTCGTGGAGATTCGAGAACGAGGAAAATGTGGGTATGTAAGCACGAGTGTGTTTATCATAGTTTTCAATAAAAATGAAAAAATTGACGTTATTTTTTAACTGCACCTAAAAGATATGTAAAATAAATGACGCATGCAAGGATTTTGGACCGACTCGATTATTAAATAGAGGCTAACGTTAAGTAGATGATAGAAGTAAAGAAAAGAAGGTAACCTCTCTTGAGTCTTTACTGAAAATCCGGAGTCCAAACTCTACTTTTCAGTTTCCCGGTCTAAATTGTCAGCTTTTGATCAAATGGGTGTAACCGTTTTGCTTAGTAATGTGTAAAACAAAGAAAAAAAAAACTGAAAAGTAGAGTTTAGGTCTAGAAGAACCAGAAAAACTATATCATGTGCAAGTCTTGTCGCATACAAATTCTAGTAAAAATGTGTTATCAAGTATTAGAAAAACTATATAAACTGAATGAAAATGAAACTTTTCTAAACTACAATTTTTTGTTATTAGTAATTTATTTTCTCCTCAAAATAATTTGGAATATTGTATACACACATTTTTACTAGAATTTGTTAGTCCTATCACACTAGTCATCATGCATTAGGTCTCCACATTCATTATTTGTGTACGTTTGATTTTTTTTTGAAAAAGGGTAATCAAGAAGTTATCCCTGAATATTCTCGAGATGGGATCCATAACGTTTCTTTCTTTTCTGTGAAACTGTGATGTACAACATTTGCTAACTTCGCATCGGACAGTTATTTATTATGGCCTTCCTTTTCTGTGAATCTGTGATTAAAAAAGATTACTTCGAAAAGAAGGAAAACCTATAGAAGATAATGTATACTCCAAGCAAACAAAGAAGCAGATAGTGTATACTCCAAGCAAACAAAGAAGCAGTGGCCAACACAGATGAAGAGGAATAATCGGAGAGGAAAAACAAAACTCTGTTTCTGACTTGTTGAGACGCTTTACGTTTGGAGAGTAAGAGAGAAAAAAATATAGTGGTTGAAGGACTTTGACTAGCATATTTTAAATGAATTCGAACAAATTAAAATTATTTAAATATGGTTCATCTCATTACAAAAACAAAAGGAGTTAAAAAATAACAAAAAGCGATGCTTAAAAGTTAGAACTAGGAAATCTCTCATATGTAAAATATAAGAGATTTCCAAAAATAAGAAGATGAGAAATGCATTTTAGAAAATCTTGGCAACGTCCTTCATAAGTCCCTTATTGGCACCTGCAAAATCGGTGAATTCTTGATACGATATGTTTCCATCACCATCAGTATCAATTTCAGCCATCATACGTTTCACATCATCGTGCGTCACCGAGCCAAGTGTCTTAAGAGCTTCCTCGAGTTCGGCCGCTGAGATTTTTCCGTCGCCATTAGCATCAAATTTCTTGAATATACGTTCGTGCTCGGCTTTCTCCGTCGCATCAGCCATATTATATTGTGTGTGATGAATGTGTCTTTCTGTGTGTTTTTGAAATGTTAAATTGTCTTCTGTGAACTTCCTTTTGGTCGAGGAATTAGTTATCAAATTATATAAATATTTGAGTGACAAAAAAGAAGTTGAGGACGTGCTTATTATTAGGAACTTTTGGAGGAACTAAACAACACTTCAACGCAAATGGTCCGAGTTAAAACTAAATTTAAAATTAGGATGTGACTTGGTCTTTTACAAAATGCACGTAGATTCAAGACTTTATAATAACATTTAATAAATTATTAAATCTGATAAGTTAATAATTTCGTCTGATCCTAAAATTTATAATCAATAATTATTAAAATAAATAATTTTATAAATTAAAAAAATATCAAAGTCCCAAAATTATTAATTTATAGAATTTCTAGTGTAGGTTTGATTGTTAACAGTTGTAAACTTGTTTTTGCTGTAAAATATAATTGTAAAGCTTTTTGATATGGCTATAAATTTTATTTCTGTAAGATTTTTGTAGTAGAATTATAAATTTTTGAATGCTTTAAATACCATGCTTTAAAAAAATGATTTGCGCAACAAAAAAAAGAAGAGGAAAAACATTTTGGATGTCCATAAAAAAAAAAGGATAAAGTTTGATTGGATCCATTTAAAAAATGTAGAATGTTTTTGCTATGTACAGCTTGTAAAGCATTTTATCAATCAATCTCATAGTTTATATACATAAATCTCAAATTCATTTGTTTCTGAAAATGTATGATGCGAAGACAGCAAAATTTAATTCGTGCTTAGCCAACATAGAGAATATCCGCATCTAATGTAAATTACATAGTTAGATTTTTACTGTATAATACCAAAAAACATTAGCTTAATTTTTTTTTTATAGACCACTGTCTCTATATAAACAGACCAAACCATATCATATATAATAAACACATCAAAGTACTTGCTCAACAAAATATATATAAACACATCAAACATAAAGAAACGTGAATGTTCATCATGGCTAATTTCCAAAGAAAAATGAGAGCTATGCTGGTAGTGGCAATGCTCATTGTTTGCATATTTTTTAGGAGCGGCAACTGTGAAAAGAAGAGATATATCGGCTACCCAGCAATTGGTCGTCGTAGTCCTGGTGCAGGGGGTTGTAGCCCTAAATATCCCTCGACTTGCACGCCAAAGGTTCCGTCACATCCATATACTCGAGGATGTACTGTAGCGACTAAGTGTCTTCGTCCTCCTCCGATTAGGGCTTCGATAATTTAAATTTATGTTATGTTTTTTTTCAATATTATTCATTTATGGTTTGTTTGTGGATGGTTGTTATTATACAATCGTTTTGTATTGTTTTATCACGTTTGAGTCGTACCTTATGGAAACACTCAAAATTAAATTTTTTTTTTCTATAAGCATGTACTGTACGGAATTGCGAATTGTTTTAAATAATTATTTTAAGAAAATATATTATCTTGAATAAGGCTTGCAAAAAATAAATGAAATACTTTTCTCCTCTGTCAAAATATTATCATAATTATCAGATTCTAATATACTTGGCATTTATATTATTAATTAAATACTGAAACAATTCTTCTATATATAAATAAGAGATGCGCCAATGAATTTAGTTGAAGAGATGAGGACCAATTAAAAAACCTAACGTAAGAGATGTGCCAATGATCTTTAAGCCAACATGCTGCAAAGTTGTGTATGTAACAGTTGTTTTTTTTGCTGTAAAAGTATTATTGTAAAGTTTTTTTATATGGCTATAAAAACAAATTTCTGTAAGATTTCTGTTGTAGAATTGTAAATTTTGAAAGCTTTAAATTATAAGCTTTAAAAAAATATTTGTACAACCAAAAAAAAGGAGAGAATAAATATTTTGGATAAGATAAAGTTTGATTGGATCCATTTTAAAAAATGTAGAATGTTTTTGCTGTGTACAGCTTATAAAGAATTTATCAATCAATCACAGAGTTCGTAGAAATCTCAAATTCAATTTCTTTCTGAATATGTATAATACGAAGTCAGTAAAATTAAATTTTTGCTTAGCCAACATAGAAAATATCCGCATCTAGTATAAATTACACAGTTAGATTTTTACTGTATAATACCAAAAAACATTATCTTACTTTTTTTTATAAACCACTGTCTCGATTACTCTATACAATGGAGTAATAGACCAAAACCATATAATATATATAATGAACACATTAAAGTACTTGCACAACAAAATATTTATAAACACATCAAACAGATAAAAACGTGCATGTTCATAATGGCTGATTTACAAAGAAAAATGAGAGCTATGCTGGTTGTGGCAATGCTCATTGTTTGCATATTTCTTAGCAGCAGCAACTGTGAAAAGAAAAGATATATCCACTATCCAGCAATTCATCATGGTGGTGATGGTGGTGCAGGAGGTTGTAACCCTAACTATCCCTTGAGTTGCGGGCCAAAGGCTCCGTCACAGCCATATAGTCGAGGGTGTACTACAGCTACTAGGAGTCAGCGTCCTCATCGGATCATGGCTCCGAGAATTTAAATTTATGTTATACTTTTTTCACTATTATTTATGTATATTTTATTTGTGGATGGTTGTTAGCATGCAAATTGTTTTGTATTGTTTTATGGAACGCTCCAAATTAATTTTTCTTCCTATAAACATTTACTGTATGGGATTACGAGTTGTTTTAAATAATTGTTTTAAGAAAATATTATCTTAAATAGGACTTGCAAAAAAAATAAACAAAATATTTTTCTCCACTGGCAAATCAGTACAACAATAACACTAAAGTTTTTTCATGACTGATATCTCAGCTTTTTCAACTTACTAAAAACTGACACATCAGCAAAATCAACAACTAATCTAAATATTTTAATTAATACACATCATCTATTAAATTTTTTTTTTTTTAATTTAAACCCATTAAAACACAAATATTTTTTTAATCTTTTTTTTTTTGCCAAACACAAGCCCAAATATAAATAACAGTAAACAAAACAAATTATATCTTTATTTTATTTTTTGCTAAACCAAAACCCAAATAATAAATAACAATAAATAAAAAATATTTTATTTTTTGTCAAACCCAAGCTCAAATAATAAATAAGAGCAAACTAAAAAATTAAAAATTTGTGGATATATTAACTTCGATTATACGACAAACTTATTACAATTGTTCGTTGATACACTGTAATGTCTCATGATTCAAATATATCTTAACATAAACTTGAAACAACAAAGCTTGGTTCTATATGTGAAAAAGTTTTGAATCGTCTTGTTGTTATTGTGAAACAGAGCTGAAAGGTATGCCAGTGGAGATGGTAGCTAAGTTAGTACATGAACATGCGAGGAAGCAGTGTTCTTAGCTCGGCTTGTAATTACCTCAAAAACTCTAAATATAGCACGAACAAATCACCATTTTTATAAATTTCATCTCTCTATCTGTCATGGTATCCAAAAATCTTATATGTACCTTTTGTTTGTTGTATGAATAGAAAAAAAAAAGAGAATGAGTATTGTGGTTGGTTAATAATGTAATAGACATCAAAGTATTTTTAATCAAGAGATTTGTTATTGTGCTTTTGAATCTTTCTTTCCCTAATCTATAGTAGTAATTTCTGTAAAATCATCAAAGCATTGCTCACCATAGCAAATTCGTTAAAAATATAAACTGAATTAAACTGAAAAATAAATCTATGAGAATGATCAAGAAAAATAAGTGTGGCCTTTTTTTAACCAAACCAAGTTTTGGATTAGGCTCGTGTGAGGCTTCTTGTGTAGTCGTCGTGGATCTTTTGAGGTGTTAAGTCTACATTGTTTTAGGATTTAGTTTCTCTCCACACCCAATTTGAAATTTTATTGGAAGAGCTATTAATCTAAAAACACAAAAAATAATTAATTAATTATTGTTATTAATTTTTTTTTTAACTTTCAACTGGTTATTATTCGTAAGCCTTTATAAGGCAAATATACAAACGTGATTTTCAGGTGGTAATTGAACCAATTTATAGTGTCTTAGTTGAGGTTTCTATTGGATTTAGTTCGCTAGGTTAGTTCGACAAAAACTGTTAAAAAATAACATAAAATAAATAACATAAGAATCATTAAAACACTTAAAATTAATAATGCAGTGAAGAAATCTAATAAAAATGATACTTAACCCAATTAAAAAAGTCTCAAGATACTAAAAGATGCATAGTCATCACCAGAGATGAGAGATGCATAATCTCACTAGATCTCTTCCTCCAATTGTGTCACTTGACAAATCATGTCACTCATAGTTTCAGAATCTCCATTTAACTCTTTCACTTCAGATGCTGGAAAATCATCATTGTTTCGTATAGTAATGAAGGAGAAATGGTTTTGATTTAAGAAAGGGGTATTTTTTTATTATTCAAAAGAAATTGATATCAAGATACTCAAAAAGAGAAATTTTAGTGTGTTATAGTTGGCGTCTTTATTTTCTTTCAGATTCATTTATACTATAATCTTCGACAATCTTTGATGATATAAGTTCATAACATTTAAATGTGAGGACTATATAAATATGCCAAACATGTATGAATATGTCTTGAGTGAACAATGATTATTTCTGTTTGTTATAAAACAGATTAACATAAAGTATTTTTATTAATGAAAAATATTTTCATAAAATAAATAAAAGTTTGTATTAAAGAATAGTTTTATTGTGAATTTTTACGTTTAAGGTATTTTCCGTTCAAACTGAACATATATGAGAATTAATTTCAATATTGACCTTTTATATTCACAACTTAGATATGGTCTTACATCATCCAAGTGTCTATTAGTCTTTTAATTCGATTTCAACTCACTATTATAACCATTTATGTCCCTTTGAACACAACAAAACATCTAATACAAATATTGTCTTAAGAAAACTTACATTTGCACCCAAAATAAATAAATGATGTGGCATAAATTAATGTTAAGATGGTTTTACTATTAAGCTTCAAAACTTTAAATTTCGAATAACTATTCTAAATAATATTTTTATGCTTGCATGTACACAAAGTCTTTATATCACTTTGAACATGTTTTGGACAAAAACAACTAGATGGGTGAGCGATTGTTTTTTAAGTTAAAAAAATATGAAACTTTGATGAAATTAAGTAGGATGTTATTTGAGTGAATTTTTATATCAATTTAAAAGGATGCCAGTTTAAGACAATTATGATAATACTGTGAATTATGCTCTTGGTGAGAGGAGGTTCGTTTAGGTACAGTAATTACTACAATTGAAAAATTGCACATAAATATGTTCCACCATATGTGTTGCCTTGCATCCACCTCTGATAAAATTTAGATAAACAGTGACTATGACACAAAATGTAACTAAAAGAAAATTTCATTAACAAATTTGTATATATTTTAGAATATGCATATAATATTAATTTTAAAGTATTTTATTTACCAAAATATAGTATTAAATCAATAAAAAATTAAAAAATAACCCGCATAAATAAATCAATTTTTGTTTTCACAGTACTTTTATAATATATAAAATGTCAATATTACTTTGTTTTCCCAGATCAAATAATCAATATTAAACAGTTAGTTCAATGTAAATATTAATCACATAAAGAAAACATTTAAATCAACTTCTCACTACGTACCGATATATACCTAGTATTATCATAATTATTAGATTCTAATATATTTGATATTTATATTATTAAAATCGGTGAATTCGTGATACGACATGTTTCCATCACCATCATTATCAATTTCAGCCATCATACGTTTCACATCATCGTGCGTCACCGAGCCAAGTGTCTTAAGAGCTTCCTCGAGTTCGGTTGCTGAGATTTTTTCGTCACCATTAGCATCAAATTTCTTGAATATACGTTCGTGCTCGGCTTTCTCCGTCGCATCAGCCATATCATACTGTGTGTGATGAATGTGTCTTTCTGTGTGTTTCTAAAATGTTAAATTGTCTTTTGTGAACTTCCTTTGGGTAGAAGAATTGAGTGTTATTAGATTATATAAATATTTGAATAACAAAAAAGAAGTTGAGGATGTGCTTTTTTATCAGGAACTTTTGGAGGAAGAACAAAACAACACTTATGGTCCGAGTTAAAACTAAATTTAAAATTAAGATATCACTTTGTCTTTTACAAAATGTACGTAGACTCAAGACTCTATAAATCAATATTTAATAAATTAATAAATTTGATAAGTTAATTATTTTGTTCAATCCGAAAATTTATAATTAGTAATTATTAAAATTTATAAATTAATAAAATACTAAAGTCCCAACATTATTAATTTATAGAATTTCTAGTGTAAGTTTGATTGTTAACAGTTGTAGACTTGTTTTTGCTGTAAAATATGACTGTAAAGCTTCTTCATATGGCTATAAATTTTATTTCTGTAAGATTTTTGTAATAGAATTATAAATTTTTGAATGCTTTAAATACCATGCTTTAAAAAAATGATTTGCGCAACAAAAAAAAAAGAAGAGGAAAAACATTTTGGATGTCCATAAAAAAAAAGGATAAAGTTTGATTGGATCCATTTAAAAAATGTAGAATGTTTTTGCTATGTACAGCTTGTAAAGCATTTTATCAATCAATCTCATAGGTTATATACATAAAGCTCAAATTCAATTTGTTTCTGAAAATGTATGATGCGAAGACAGCGAAATTTAATTCTTGCTTAGCCAACATAGAGAATATCCGCATCTAATGTAAATTACACAGTTAGATTTTTTACTGTATAACACCAAAAAAGCATTATCTTACTTTTTTTTGATAAACCACTGATTCTATACAATGGAGTAATAGACCAAAACCATATCATATATATAATAAACACACATTAAAGTACTTGCACAAGAAAATATATATAAACACATTAAACAAATAAAAACGTGCATGTTCATAATGGCTGATTTACAAAGAAAAATGAGAGCTATGCTGGTTGTGGCAATGCTCATTGTTTGCATATTTTTTAGCCGCAGCAACTGTGAAAAGAAGAGATATATCCGCTATCCAGCAATTCATCGTCGTGGTGATGGTGCAGCAGGTTGTAACCCTAAATATCGCTCGACTTGCACGCCAAAGCTCCCGTCACATCCATATAGTCGAGGATGTACTACAGCTACTAAGTGTCGTCGTACTCCTCCGATTAGGGCTTCGATAATTTAAATTTTTGTTATGTTTTTTTTTCAATATTATTCATTTATGGTTTGTTTGTGGATGGTTGTTATTATACAATCGTTATCGTTTTGTATTGTTTTATAACGTTTGAGTCGTACCTTATGGAAACACTCAAAATTTTTTTTTTTTATAAGCATCTATTGTACAGAATTGCGAATTGTTTTAAATAATTACTAGGTGTTTCTCCGCACTTTGTGCGGAGTTCGATTAAAATTTTTAAAAGTACAACATTGTTTATTTATAAATAAAAAAATCAGATTTTATAATGATTTGAAACCAAACTAAATATATTTGAAAAAATACAATCATTGTTTTTTGTGACAAAGCAAAATATATTATTTATATATTATTTTTAATATCTTTTATATTATCAGATAAAAACTTATAGGTATGCTTTGTTGTTTTGTTGCATTTATCAAACATGATAAATAATTCTCTTCTTTTGATGTAAATTGGTATATTAATATTAATAAAATTCAAAGCTTGCAAAAAAAAAACATAGCAATCCAAAATGACCAAAACCAAAGGATCCTTGTTTCATATCAACTTAATATTAGTTAATATATATAGAGTTTTAAAAAGGTTTAAATGATTTAGAGTTTTACTTATGATCGCATAAATCAATTAGGTTAGTCAAAATATTTGTAGGTTAAACAATTTAGATTTTATTTATTTATTCTAGTTACCTTTTTTTTAGTAAACTGTATATATTTTTGATATAAACTCGAATTTAGAAATCTAGATTTAAAAAAAAATGAAAATTAATTAAAAATTAGATTATATTAATTTGTTAGTTTCATTAAGGGTAATTAAAGTTAGTTCACTTAAAGGTATAAGGTAATCAACCATAATAACTCTCAATCACAGCCCAATTTGCTTCTTAATTAATAATATGATTTTAAGAAAATATTATCTGGAATAAGGCTTGCAAAAAATAAATGAAATACTTTTCTCGTCTGTCAAAATATTATCATAATTAGATTCTAATATACTTGGCATTTATATTATTAATTAAATACTGAAACAATTCTTCTATATATAAATAAGAGATGCGCCAATGAATTTAGTTGAAGAGATGAGGACCAATTAAAATAACTAACGTAAGAGATGTGCCAATGAACTTTAAGCCAACATGCTGTAAAGTTTTGTATGTAACAGTTGTTTTTTTTTGCTATAAAAGTATTACTGTAAAGTTTTTTTATATGGCTATAAAAACAAATTTCTGTAAGATTTCTGTTGTAGAATTGTAAATTTTGAAAGCTTTAAATTATATGCTTTAAAACAATATTTGTACAACCAAAAAAAAAAGAGAGAATAAATATTTTGGATGTACATAAAAAAAAGAAGATAAAGTTTGATTGGATTCATTTTAAAAAATGTAGAATGTTTTTGCTGTGTACAGCTTATAAAGAATTTATCAATCAATCACATAGTTCGTAGAAATCTCAAATTCAATTTCTTTCTGAATATGTATAATACGAAGACAGTAAAATTAAATTTTTGCTTAGCCAACATAGAAAATATCCGCATCTAGTATAAATTACACAGTTAGATTTTTACTGTATAATACCAAAAAACATTATCTTACTTTTTTTTATAAACCACTGTCTCGATTACTCTATACAATGGAGTAATATATAGACCAAAACCATATCATATATATAACGAACACACATTAAAGTACTTGCACAACGAAATATTTATAAACACATCAAACAGATAAAAACTTGCATGTTCATAATGGCTGATTTACAAAGAAAAATGAGAGCTATGCTGGTTGTGGCAATGCTCATTGTTTGCATATTTTTTAGCAGCAGCAACTGTGAAAAGAAGATCTATATCGGCTATCCAGCACTTCATCGTGGTGATCCTGGTGTACAGGGTTGTAACCCTTTTGATCCCTTGAGTTGTGGGCCAAAGGCCGCGTCAAATCCATATAACCGAGGATGTACTACAATTGATAGGTGTCGTCGTCCTCCGATCAGGAATCCGATAATTTAAATTTATGTTATGTCTTTTTCACTATTATTTATATATACTACGTACGTTTATGGATGGTTGCTATTATGCAAATTGTTTTATATTATTTCATATCATTTAATTTGTATTTTATCGAACGTTTCAAATTATAATTTCTTCTTATAAACATTTATTGTATGAAATAATTGCGAATTGTTTAAAATAAGTATCATAAAAAAATATTATTTTGAATATACTGCTAAAAATTTACAAAAAAGTTAAACGAAATATTTTTTTCCTCTGTCAAATATTATCATAGTTATCATATTCTAATATACTTGGTATTTATATTATTAACTAAATTTTAAAATGATTATTTTATATATAAATAAGAGATGTGCCAATGAATTTTAAGCCAACATGTTCTTTAGTCACCTTTATGTGCCTGGTATCTTCTCGACACCTCTTTAAAACTAAAAACCTAAAGAAAATATAACAAAATAATAAGGTAGCCGATCGACCTTTAAAATCCAAAAATATATGTTATTATTCAAATTAGTATCTAAGGGGTTTTATTTTACCAATTTTAAAAATCTTTTTTTTTGCTAAATAACCAATTTTAAAAATCTGAATCCGGCGGATAGGGTATATGTTGGGTTGGGGATCCAGTACTAGAAACATCATCTAGTTTAAGATATAGTTTGTAGAAATCTCAAATTCAATCCGCTTCTGGACATTTATGACGGGAAGACAGTAAGATTCAAGCTTATGCCAAGCCAACATAGAGAATATCCGCATCAAGTGTAGATTCCACAGTGAGATTCTTACTGTATAATAACAAAAACATCATCTTACCTTTTTAGAAAAACTACAGTCTATACGATGGAATAATAGACTCAAGACCATATAAAATAAATATTATATATAATAAACACATCAAAGTACTTGCACAACCAAATATATAGATAAACACATCAAACAAATAAAAACATGCATGTTCATCATGTCTAAGAGCATGTCCATCGGTAAAAATTGTAAAAGGAATATCTAAAATAAAAAATATTAATATTTTAATAAAATTTGAAGAGAGAGAAGTTTCAGAATTTTTAAACCTCTTATATATAAACATCTGTCACCAAAGTCTCTTACAATCTTTACAAACGTATACAAAATTCATTAAATAAACAACGTTTGTTATTCTCTTTCCATCTTTTTTCCTTTTTAATAATTGTTTATTGTTTAGATACTTTGTTAAAAACCACCGATGGAGGTGGTTAATGAGAGTTGCTGGTAATGGCAATGCTCATTGTTTGCATGTTTCTTAGCAGCAGCAACTGTGAAAAGAAGACCTATATCGGCTATCCAGCACTTCATCGTGATCATGCACTCGGTTGTAACCCTAGGTTTCCCTCGACTTGCAGGCCAATGGTCCAGTCAAATCCATATAGCCGAGGATGTAATCCAATTACTAGGTGTCAACCTTCGATCAGAACTCCGATAATTTAAATTTATGTTTTTTTAACTATTATTCATCTATGCTATGTTTGTGGATGGTTGCTATTATGCAAATTTTTTTGTATTGTTTCATATCGTTTAATTATTTGTATCTTATGAAATAAATTACAGTTTCATTCCTATAAACATTTACGGTACGGGATGATTGCGACTTTTTTTTAGCAAAATATGGTCTTGAATATATTGATAAAGACTTACAAAAAGTTTAAATATATTTTCTCCTCTGTCAAATGTTACCATATCGGATATACACTTCAAATGTTTTTTTTTTTTTTATACACGTCAAATGTTACAAAGCTTTTTCTACTTCACCTTGAAAGCATTTGGAATTGTTGCAGTGACACGATCAAGTACAAACCCTCCTGATAATGTCCCAATGATCCCACTAATGATAGTTACTGCGCCGAATATCATATCGGCGTTTTCCTGTCAAGATAAAATTCTTATCAGAAAACAAAGAGTCAAATGTTATCATATCGGATATACACTTTGAATATTTATTAACTAAATTTTGAGATATATATATGGAGTAATATATAAACAAATGTTTAAAAACTTATTTTTAAGTAGTTTTGTTAATTTATCAACTAACTCCATAGAGCGATTTCAGACCAGCGTTGATGCTGGTATTGTTTTAATTTAATCAAAATATATCCTAGTTAATGTCAATCGATCGATCTTTCTTGACTTACATAGAGACTCTACATATAAGATTTAAATACCTCAATCATCGTCGTCATGTCGATAGTTATATATTAGTCTTTTTATTTTGTTTGCACAAGTAGGCAATTACGGTTCTATATTTGTAAATCTATATGATCATCGTGTTGTTTAAATTTAAAGTTTGAAAAACTCATTTCAAGCCCAATGTTTAACTGTCAATTCCCAATTTTAAAAGTCTGGATTCGGCGGATAGGGTATATGTTGGGTTGGGGATCCAGTAATAGAAACATCATCTAGTTTAAGATATAGTTTGTAGAAATCTCAAATTCAATCCGTTTCTGGACATTTATGACGGGAAGACAGTAAGGTTCAAGCTTATGCCAAGCCAACATAGAGAATATCCGCATCAAGTGTAGATTACACAGTGAGATTCTTACTGTATAACAACAAAAACATCATCTTACCATTTTAAAAACCACAGTCTATACGATGGAATAATAGACTCAAGACCATATAAAATAAATATTATATATAATAAACACATCAAAGTACTTGCACAACCAAATATATAGATAAACACATCAAACAAATAAAAACGTGCATGTTCATTATGGCTAATGTTCAAAGAAAAATGAGAGTTGTGCTGGTAATGGCAATGCTCATTGTTTGCATGTTTCTTAGCAGCAGCAACTGTGAAAAGAAGAGATATATCGGCTATCCAGCACTTCGTCGTAATCATGCAGTCGGATGTAACCCGAGGAATCCCTCGACTTGCACGCCAAGGATCCAGGCAAATCCACATAGTCATGGATGCAGTGCAAAAACTAGGTGTCGTCGTCATACTCGTCAAGCTGCTGTGGTCAGGGATCCCATAATTTAAATTTATGTTATGCTATGTTTTTTTTTTCACTATTATTCATATATGCTATATATATGTTTGTGGATGGTTGTTATTATGCAAATCGTTTTGTATTGTTTCATATCGTTTAATTTGTGTACCTTATGGAGTATGCTGGTTAGCCCTTTCCGTCAAGGGCATTGATAAAGACTTACAAAAAGTTTAAATAAAGTATTTTTGTTTTCCTCTGTCAAATATTATCATAATAATCAGATTCTAATATACTTGGTATGTATATTACTAACTAAATTTCGAAATAATTCTTTTATATATAAATAAGAGATGTGCCAATGAGTTTTAGTTGAAAAGATGAGGACTACTACTAATTAAGAAGCCTAACGTTAAAGATGTGCCAATGAATTAAGCCACATGTTGTTTAGCCACCTTTGTGCATGGTAATGATCTTCTCGACACCTCTTAAAAACTAAAAACCCAAAGAAAATATAGCAAACCCAAACAAACAAAACCTACGTGGAAAGAAGATTGAAATAAAATAATTATAATAAATCGCAAAGTATTCGACTCTATAAAGATCTGCCTCGTTACTCTTTCAACAAATCACTCGATCTCTCTCTCTTTGAATCTAATTTCTCCAAACAGAAACTGTTGGTTTATTGCTCTGTGCTTATAACCGGTTGATCGTACGTGCATATATACTCCGAAAGGATGGCGTTTCCGTCGTGTGTTCAGTGCGGGACGAGACAAAACCCGTGTCGGTGCGAAGTGGTGGGACCGACGTTAGGGTTCGTGGCATTTCTGGTGACCGGAAAATTTGTTTGATTTTTAGGTTTATGTGAGCTTCATGAAGAAAGGTTGCAGCATATATTTTTACTCATACTATTTCTAATCCTGTCTTTGTTTATTTGGGAATTAAAAACAAAATCCTTCTTGTTTGATGTAAGACACAAATTGGTCTAAACGTCTGACTTCATGATCTGGGATTAGTTCTAATTTAACCCTTGATGTGTTATTGTTAATGGATTGGTGATATGTAGTGATGTTCATGGCTTATCTATATGACTCTAGTCTCACACTTTACTTGTTTTCATTGCTCTTGCAGCAACTCGATCGTATGAAAGTGGAAGACGTAAAGACTACAATCTATTTGGTAATGTGAAACCAGGTGGTGATGACTTTAGAAAAGCCTGGGAGAAAGATATGGAGGAGGATAAATTCAAAAGTTAAAAGCTTGCAACAATTTAAATTATAAAACAGTTTAGATGTCCCTTATATTTCGTTCGAACAATTATGCAAAGCCCAACTTTGAAAAACTCAAAACTTCAAGCCCAATGTTTAACTGTCAATTCCCAATAGAGACTCTACATATAGGGTTTAAATACCTCAATCATAGTCGACATGTCGATAGTTAATAGTAATATAACTCAAGGAAGAAAAAAAAGAAGCCTAACGTAATAGAGTTTCACAACTCTCAGTGCCAATGATTTTAAGCCACATGTTTAGTCACCTTTGTGCTGGTAGTGTCTATCTTCTTGACACCTAACCTCTTTAAAACTAAAAACCCAAAGAAAATATAACAAAATAAAAAAGGCCAGCCGACCTAAAATCCAAAAATATCTGTTTTATTATTCAAAATAGTAACAAACAGACCCTACGTGGAGAGAAGAAATAAATAAAATAATTATAATAAAACGCAAAGTATTCGACTCTATAAAGATCCCGCCTCGTTACGCTTTCAACAAATCACAATATCTCTCCACTTGATCTCTCTCTCTCTCTCTCTCTCTCTTTGAATCTGATTTCTCCAAACGGAAACTGTTGGTTTATTGCTCTCTGCTTATTATAACCGGTTAGATCGTACGTGCATATATATACTCCGAAAGGATGGCGTTTCCGTCGTGTGTTCAGTGCGGGACGAGACAAAACCCGTGTCGGTGCAAAGTGGTGGGACCGACGTTAGGGTTCGTGGCTTTTCTGGTGACCGGAATCATCGAGTGGCCGGTTGGTGCGGTGGTTTATATCTTTAAACACACAAAGGGTCGCCGTATAATGGGTCACCCGGCAACCGTCGTTTATCCCAAAGTCTCTAGATCCATTCCCATTTGACTTGTTATGCAACTTTGGGTTTGGTTGACCAATTATGTATGTTTGTACTTTTTTTTTTTTATCGGATATATATAAATCCCAAATCTAAGTCCGGATTAGTTTCTTCTGATATGTATTATGTATGTAATGACCAAATAAAAGTTAAAAGGCTCGTTTGATTTATTTGATGTATACTTGTGGAAGCTAATAAATGTTATTATATATATATTGGGACCAAAATAAAGATATTATTACGAATTTATGATTGGGAGAGAACATCAGTAAAATTTCAAATTACTTTTATTTTTTAAAATATCAAGTCCAGATAAAGTAGAGATCAGTACCGCGGGAGAATCAGTTTTCTTCCTCTTTATTTCCTGGTACAGTTTAAATGTGTAACTAATTAGTTTCACATTTGAATAATTTTTTTTAAGAATAGTTTAGCATCATATATGTATGCCGTCGATTAAAAGCTGTTAACGAGAGAAGAGGATGTTCCAGCGAAGACTCTCTTCTTGTCTGTTCTCTATCGTAGCCAAAAGGTTGGTTTTGGTTCTGCGAATGGATCATTTCATCTGTAACTCCATAGAGCGATTTCCTTCAATTTTACCCAAAATAAAACTCGTCTGTTTACTTGTAGATCACAAAGTCGCTTGATTTCGAGTCCGCCAACTTCTTCTCAAAACTGGGTATTTGCTGGGTTTCGACAGAACTTACAAGGTTTCACTTTCCCCATACATGTTTTGACCTTGGTTTCTCTGCTCTGCTCGTATTTCGGGTCTTCGGATTTAGTTGCAGACGAGGTGTTTGTGGAAATGCCTCAGAGAAATTATCTGTTCATGTCTCTCTTTAAAGTTTTAATTTTTTTTTGAACATTGATAAAAAAAAGAAGAAGGGGTACACAGTGGTAGGAAGCTGCATAATTTGTTAGTCCATAGTTAGGACCAGACATGAGAATTGGAAAATTTGTTTGATTTTTAGGTTTATGTGAGCTCCATGAAGAACGGCTGCAGCATATATATATATTAGTCTTAAAGTCTGACTTTTTTGATCTGGGATTAGTTCAATTTTCACCCTTGAAATGTGTTATTGTTAATGGATTGTTGATAGGTATAGTGATGTTCATGGCTTATCAATATATATGACTTTAGTCTCACACTTTACTTATTTTCATTGCTCTCGCAGAAACTCGATCGTATGCAAGTGGAAGACGTAAAGACTACAATCTATTTGGTAATGTGAAACCAGGTGGTGATGACTTTAGAAAAGCCTGGGAGAAAGATATGGAGGATGATAATACTCTGTGGCCAGCAAGTGAAGACGAAACCGACGATACAACGAAAGAAGAAAATGGAAGAAACCGGCTTGAGAAAGAGGTTAAGAGGGCTAGACAAGAAGCTAAAGACAGCTCCGATCTAATTGATGCAGATGATAGTGATGAGTTACACAGTGTTTGGTCTGGAAGCGACGAGGAAAAAACGTTGTGGACTGGCGATGAAGGCGATGACGACGACGACATTCCTACAGATGCACGCCCGAACGAAGCATCTGATAAGTACTTGGATAAGTTGTTCGAGTTTGAAGAGAAACCAAAGTACAGGACAATCTCTGAGCTCTTGAAATCTGAAAATGAACCTGAGGAGCTCTCACCAGGTAAAGAGGCGAGGAAGCTTGCTGTTGAGAAGGCGCTGAAGAAACTGAACAAAGGGCCTGACGGGCGTTACACTAACGTCTGGGAAGTAATGAGTGATGTCGACATTTTGATTGGAGCGTTCGAAAACATAATCTCAGGGCCTGAATACGAAGAGCTAAGGAAAGGTGGACCCAAGAGACTGAACATGCAGTTCTTCAAGGATATACAAACTCGGATGAGAGATCCAAACTTCAAATTCACACCTGAGATAAAGCTGAAGCCTAAGAGCAAGCTTGTGCCTAGGAAGAAATGGCAGAAGGCAGAGTCTAGAAGAAGGAAAGCGAAGAAGCGGTAAAGGCCTCCTTGGCTTGTTCAAAGATTTTGATAGATTAACAGGTAAAAACCATTCATTCTTTCTTTCAAAGATTTATTCAAGTACCCAAATCCATTTCCTGTAATTTCTTGCTGCTGTGTTGATTCAAAATGAATTTTTTTTGCAGGTTTTAAAACCTGCTTGGAGAAGAAGACCAAACAGCTTCCACAATAATGAAGTCTTATGATTGTTTCATCCTCAGTCAATACTTTTGTAAATAATCGGTGCCGTGATTAAACAGCTTTCCTATGGAGTGATTCTGGAGTTTATATTCCTTCTTCTAAAGAAAGAAGCTTTGAACGAAAAGCTAGAGAGATGCTTTGGTCCCTCTTGGACAATTTTTGGGGGAAGAATACAGCTTTTTGTACTTTTGATCTTCAAAAGTTTTCTTCTTTATTTTGGTTTTAAAAAGTTGGAACTTGTAATGTGACACTCTCTTGCCCCTTTGAAGCTTATTCTAAACCAAAATATTAAAAAGAAAGCAATTTGCGTAACAAATCACAAGATGCTGATTTTTTGGGTCTCTTCCTAATATTCTTCTTTATTTGTTTATTAATTTACATTATCGTCAAAGTTCATTCATGTCCAATAGAAATTAGACAAATTCTCCAACGTTGGCTACTTAATTGGTCCATTATACTTACCTATTTTCACTCTTTAAGTTAGATTCCACTTATGGTTAGTGATGTAAATTCTTGGAACATCATTCGACTAAATTTGAAAAAAAGTTTTGTTCGAATGTAATTCATTACACAGAAGTGACTGAAAAAATATTGAGAAATATTGTGCTAATGGATTGAATATGTATACTAAAAGACTTTTGCAGAAGTGAAAGGTATCAAACTTAGATTTAAAGTTCAATACCAAGACCATTACTATTACTTTACCTTTGTGTTGCCATGTTATAACGTTCTAATCATTATAACATGAAAATACAAATGTAGACGTAAACCGTATTCTAAATATAATCATCTACAAAACGTACACAATTTTATATAACACTATCTACATTGTATTGTTTTATTTGATTCCGTTGAAAATGGTCTCTGTTATTTATTACATAGTCTTTACCTTACCTTTTGATTTCGTATGAGAATGAAAGTAGCAAAAGTATACAAAAACACAAAGACATTATCTTTCTTCTCATAATTCACATGATGGAACAAGCGCCTTGGACGTTGTCGTCGCTGAAGAGGGAAACGTAGTTTTCACCAGGTGTGTTTGCGGCTGGAAACGCTTGTGTGGGATTGCGGATGTGGCCTGCGGGTGCGCGTTTGTCGTACATGCCAGGAGCAAAAGGGTAATAGACCATATGCTGAGGTATGTAAGGCCAAAACTCTGCCTTTTTCCCTGTGCTCTTCACTCTCTTCAACACCTTGTTTGGATCCACATGCCCGTTGACCGTTATCCGGCTTTGTTTCCGGTTCACCTCCACCGATTTCACGCCTGTACCGGTTGGTTCCAAACATAAAATGAAGTTAACAATTATCTAAACTATTTGTATTTTTTAACAAAAGCGAAGATCAATAAAGCTTTTTAATTCAACTCTTCGGAAATACATTTATAATTGCTTAAATCTTTAATCATAGTTTTTCTTTTCACAGAAACATTTCGATATATGAAATGCTTTTTGAAAATACAATGTTGCTAAAGAAAATATGAGTACAAAAAACTACTAAAATTATATGAAAAAAGTATAATTGGAACAATTTTGTTTCTGTGTAACTCTTTTATATAGATAACTCTAAATAAAATTATATTCCGGACTTTTTTAACCATATTCTTTTCCAAGCAAGAGGTTGAGCAAATGATTAGTAATTACGGTATTGTTATATATTTGGGCCAGCTTTGAAATTGTAATGAAGAGAGGAATAAGAATCTTGAAAAGAGAAATTAAAGCAGGAGAATAAAGAAAATGGAAACAAAAAGGGAAAAAGGAGATTGGCGAAAGTTTTGATTCAAAGTCAGAGAGGGAGATGATGAGAAAAGAGAACCTTTCATGCGACGAACCACGTTTTTAACTCTTCTTTCGCAACCATCACAGTCCATTTTCACCTTGATATCCACTGTCTACACGAAAACCATTTATTACCAATAAAATCTCTTGCAAAAATCCAAACTAATTGTCGTAGCTTCTTGCTGTCATGTATAAGTCAGTAGCTAGCTTCTCGCAACTGGTTGATAACTTAATTGCTATCATCTCAATATAAAATATTGCTAACATGTTTTAGCCATTCACTTACTTTATCGTAAGTACTATTTATTATATCATATATCGATCATCTATGATGTACCGATATACGTATACTGATATACACAACGAAAAAGTTGATGAAGTTATGAAGAAACAAGAAACGGATAAAAGAAAACATGTTCGTAATCTAAAACCTCTTATTTGAATTTTATGCATACACGTATAACGTATTAGCATATAGTTTTGAAGTTAGCCAAATCAATTCGAATATGTATATGAATATAGATAACAGAGTATCATTTGATATAAAGGATGAAAAAGCAGAGTTGTACGTAAAAGATATAGAGTGAAGAACAAACCTGCAATGGCTTACGCTTGGTTTTTGCATTAGAGTATGTATATGAACAAAAGCTAGAGATATAATCGAATGCACCCATTCTCCTCTTTTCGCCAAAAAAATATGTCTTAATATATGATCAAATGTGTATAAATATGTAATTTATATGCATGTATATCCATATAAGTGTGTGTGTGTGTGTGTGTATATATATATATATAGGGAGAGAAGAAGAAAGTGGCTTTCTTAATAGAGAAGGAGAAGAGAGTTACGTGACATGCATTCAAGATTCCATGTATATATGTGGGCTTTTTATGTGGTCTATCTTAAAAAAAAAAGTAACTATTTTCCACGAGAATGTTGTAGAAGAAAAGGTGTTTTATACATAGGGGAAAAAATGTAACTATTTTCCATTAACTTGTTTGTCCGTGTGTATTTTTCTGGATCAAAACATTTTATGAGAAATGTAGACTTTAATTCGAACTTGCATGTAATAAAACTGAAACAGCAAGAATATAAATAGACTAAAATAGCTTAATTAAACAGAGTTCCCTTTTTTTATTGGCCTTTGCTTTGGTTTCGATTCAAAGATTATGGCTTTGTCATCCATTTTATTATCTATTTAAAATAAAGTCCCAATAATTGCCTAATATGATTCCCTCAACTCAGAAAGCATTAAACTATATATAAATATACTATTATAAGATGCGTTTATCAATATTATAATGAATGATAATCGTTATTTATTGTTTGAATAAAAGTATAAAACCATTGAACAATACTAAAACTTTAGATGCTTTGTGATACAGTGTGATGTTGAGTTACCAATGATATTTGACCTTCCCTTTTTCTATAAATGAATATATACAGAATTTGAGGCCATAGTTTTGTATACATAAATTGATAACCGAATAATTAAATAAATAGACATATACTGTATAGTTTTGTGAATGATGTTTCCGTGAATTTTAGGTTTCTGCTGTTTAAAACTTAATATAAATATGTACATATTTATAGCATGTGCAAACGCTATGTTGATTATCACATCGACATTGAGTTTTAATTAAAATACCAATGTAAAACACAAGAAGAGGGAAAATACGAGATCAGTCCTATAATTAATTTGTAAACACTAAAGAATTGGCAGTATTATTGGCTGCTTTCTAATATGGTAAGCTGGAATATCTAATTATGTCAATACTTCTTCAACTTACAAAGTAGTTATATTTTTAGTAAATGGAATTTAAATATGTTTTGTAAGTTCTACGCAGAAAACCGAGAGAAGTAACATGGAGAGAATACGCTAAGTTGACGTTGAACCCATGCTGTTTTTCTGGTGTAAGAGTTTTATACCCTTACCTTTATAGCTTATACTGAAAGTCTGAAACATATCAAAGAATTTTAAAATCGCTCGTAGATTCTAAGCGACTTATGTTGGACAGTGGACACAGTTCATGATTTTGACTTTGTGGTCTTTAGAGCTTTTAAATCAAGCGTAATGTTGTCATTAGCAAAAGAATCCCCATAAGCTTTTTGTTTCGTTTTAAGAATAACTGCCACAAGTTAATGAAGTTTTATAGATGTCAAAAAAAAAAAATAGTTAATGAAGTTTTATATTGGCACTTTTTAAGCAAAGTCCAAACAGTCAACAGTAGTATTTTAGATTCTGGTAATAACAAAATAGTTTTCTATGATAAAATAAACTTTATGAACTTTTAACCCTGGAAAAATTCGGAGTTGACAAATATGAACATTTGTATTGCCTTGTTTTGACAAAACTTTATTTTATAACAATTCTGAAGTGGACTAAACAACTTGCCCAAATCAATGTATCTTTTTTTTCCTAAGAAATTATAACCAATCTGATGAGAGTCATACACATACCACAATCTTCGACTCACAAGTCTTTGAAGTAAACAACATATTCTTATTTTTTTCAAAAACATCTGAAGAAGCTCCTCTTACAAACTTAGCAACTTACAATCTGAAAAATCTTTAAAACACATAAGAAAAACAAATGAGCGTTTGTAACTCCAGATTGATCTAAACGCATCTGTAAAAACCTCCTCAACTTCCTGCAACCGTCTCTGGCAGCGGCCTTCTTAGTAGCGGTCATGGCGTCTGTAACACAGTTAAAACATATTAGTTTCACTGTAACCAAAAAAGATTTGCAGCAAATAACAAGATGCGTCCGTTTTCTTAATCGAAGTTACCTGCGGCGATCATAATCCCTCGGTCTTTCCCTAGACCGGGACCGCGAACTGCGCCGGCTTCTTGAGTCATACCCACGTGACTGATTATAGTTTCTGTCATGTTCACGGTGGTCATGATGTCTGTCACGGTCTCTACTCCTACGGTCAAGATCTCTTCCACGGTCGCGGCTATCTCCTCCGTCTCTATCTTTACTTGATTCTCTCTCTCTGCTCCTCTCCTTTGATCTGAGATTGGTAGTTTTTCAGCAAAAAATGTTATAGTATTTACGAAAGCAAACTAAGAATGTGTTGAAAAGCTTAAGAAAGTAAACCTCCTTTCCTCGACCCGCTCCTTGTGAACTTTGTTCTTTTCCTCCTGAGGAAAACAGGGAGAAAATATAACTATACAGTCTACACTGAGAAAGAACACGAAAAGCACACTAGATAAATTTTCTTGCTCATTACCTGAAGCTCTGCTAATTTGTCGCGGATCAGCATGTAACCCAAATGAAGCTTCCCTCCAAAATGATCAGCTAACCGACGATCACTAAAGGCAGCACAAAAGATTTTTGACATTGCCAAATGCAAATCACAGATTGGTGACATAGATATAGTTTAAAGCTCCATTATTTATCTCTAACAGGCACAATAAATCAAGAAAGAACGCACATTTATTAGCTGCAAAAGTAATCCTCGTAAAACTGGGCCCAAATAGCCTGCTGGTGAAAAGGAGGTACAATCCGGCGTCAAATAATGAACCACTTGCAACCCAAGAATCTATTACTAGCTTTCTTTTGAGACCACCAACGAACTATAAGGCACAACTTTTTTTAAAAGTAAAACGAACTTAACCTGTCATAGACGCTCAAAAATGCTCCGCATATGTCACATAGACGCAGCTTCTGGTCTGTCTGAGACAACAAAGGAACAGAGAGTGAGGGTTACCAACTAACAAAAGGAATAGAGACGGTACATCGAGCAGGGATGAGAACATGGTATACTTATGTACAAAAGCAATTTTTACTAAGCTGTTTAACAAGTTTTAATAAGGTGATCAAAATGTTGATCTTGACTTACAATGCGCACATCAGCAGCAGTGTACTTGGTTGAATCCGCAACAGGTTCTTGCCTAGCAGTAAGCTGAAAAATGTAACGGCTCAACACTCTTAGGAACAAATTAAAATAGGGAAAGAATATTATACAATAAGTGAAGTAGGGAGAGACAAAAAAGCATGCCAAACTATTCAATAGGTCCCTATTTCAACATATTTCATAAACATCTCCACATCCTATCCTATCAAGTATGAAGTAACTCGGAGATAAGTGGCAAGCAGAAAACTAACTTACGAAAGAAAACAAACCTTCTTAAGAGCTTCAGCCTCTTCTAGTGCTTTCTGCGCTTCATCAACCATTCCTTGTTCACCTGAATAACATAAAGTCGCTTAGAATGGCTGTTTCCAACATTGAAAATGTTCAAACGTTCTTTATTTAGGTATATAACCACATACTGAAACATTTCAAATCCCAAATGTTTCCTAAGCTCAGATTGGTACATTCATATTACATAATGATCAATTAATAGGCCTACTAAATTTTATATCAGCCACCAGAAACTTCCATGTTGGCAAAGAAAGTTAGAATATAAAAATGATAAGAAGAAGATTAAAAAATGCAGAGGCCGCAATACTGAACCACTGAAATGGTCACTCATAGAGCTATAGATTCAAAATCATATGCCAGCCACTTACCAAACTCTTCCGCTTTCTTTAATTTCTCATTGATCATCTCTTGAGTACGAGGATCGGGCGGAGGTAATGCCGCAGCTGGCTGCTGGGCTGGGATGGGCTGTGGCAAGGATGCTCTATCTTTGTTGAAGGCCTCCAACAGCAGCACAGCCTGTAGGGAAACAAGACAATGGACTTGATTGTTAATAAATTTCCTGACGCAACAAATAGCAAAGCACGTAATCACAGACCTGTAAGTCAGCTCTCTTAGTCCTCATCTCTTCAACTAACTCAAGAGCTCTAATCTTCAGATCCGTTTTTCCTTCAAGATCTGCGATATGACATCACCATTTCTAAAGATTATAGCAGCATCCAAAGTTTTATAGCACCAAAACAATCATTAACAGAAGCTAGACATACAAGCCATTTAGTCCAAATTATAATAAAAAAAAGATTCTTTCTTTCAAATTTAGAACATTTTTGAAAGGTGAAACCCCATCTCAAGCAATACCACAGATTCAGCTTTAGTCAAAAGCACAGGGAAGCTTTGTTTTCCAGCAGATGAAAAATGTAAACATATAACTTGAGCAGCTAAAATATTAGAACAGGAAGTAGCAAATTAAGTTCTAAACTGAGTAAATATGCATCTTGTAGCCTGATTAAAACAAATAAACTCTTTTGTTCGTGTAAGCAAACATATATTATATATAAGAGACATTTCCAAGTTGATAGCCTAGTCTAGTTATTGTAATGAACTTATAAATTACCATGCAGGTCTGCTTCCTTCATCTTCTCTTTGATTTGCTTTGATAGTTCGAGAATCTCAGGTGACTGCAATAAAACAATGGAATGATGAGGAAAAGACTGATTCGAAAGTGAAAGGAAATCAAATTCCAGAAAGACTCAAACGCATAAAAACTTAGATCATCACCTGGGTAACTTCGGTGACTGAAATTGCAATGGCAGCTTTGGCATCCTCTTCCTGAAGACGCTTAAGGGCCCTACCAATCTTCCTATCACACTCAACAATAAGCCTGTCTATAGCGTCTTCCAATTCCCTGTCGTAGTTGTCAACACCTTTTGCCTTTGCTTCTTTATATCTAAGAAGGAGTTAAAGCAAAACAGGATAGGAAAAAAATAGTTATCCATTAAAAAGCTCCAGACTTTCGCATGAGAAGAAAGAAGTCCCTAAAGTCTTATAGAAAAGGATACTCTTTCCTCAGCTGCAGAGAGTGCACCTTTGGGCAAGGACCCATATCCATTTTCTGAAAATAAACAAACAAGTCAAAGACTAGTCATAAAACCAAATAGCACACTCACAAGTGAGCCAACACAGATTTAGATTTTCAACAACTTACAAATCTTGAAATGCATT